AATTATTAAATATATAGAATATAATATGAATCTTAATTTTATCAAATAACTATATTAAAAATATTATAATATTTTGTTATAATTATTAAATATGTAATATATAACATGAATAATAACTTTATTAAATAACTACATGATAAATTTTATAAAATTAAGACTTATATTATATTATATATTTAATAGTTATAATTAAATGTTTTTGATATTTTTAATATTAGAATAATTAAATTTTTTTCTTTATTTTTAATAAATTTTTTACATATTAATTTATTAAAGATATTTTAATTTTTATATTATTATTTTTAATATTTTAATTTTCAAAACTTGCCAATTTTTTTCCATACCTACGACAAAACGTATTGTCAATGCCCTCTTTCGGAAAAACCCTTTTATTTAAGGAAGGAGTTAAAATAAACCGCTAGTACTAAAACGAGCTCGCTTTCCTAGTTCAATCTTTAAAATAGGATTTAATTTAATAAATTATTTATTAATTTTTATATATTTTTAATTTTATTTCTTATTTTTGAATTTTTTTTAATTTTATCCATTACATTTCATATTTATTTTAATTTCATCTAATCTCTTATTTTTAATGAAAATCTTCCTATTCTATAAGAAAATATTTAGTTCTCTAATTATATTTCTTTTAATTTTTTAATTCTCAAATTTATATTTATCGTAAAAATAGTTTTTATTTTTATTTTACTAATTGTGTTTTTCATAAAACTATTTTATAAGGTGAACTATATACAGTCTATCATGTAAAATTATTTAAATATCTTTAATTTTATTTTTTATATTATTTTTTTAAGAACATTTAAATAATTTTATAAAACAAACACAATATAATTTACCATGTAAAATAGATTTACTTTTGAAACTTCTCGTTTTAAACTTATTAAGTTTCTCTGTTTGAATTGAACTAATTGTTCAAGTTTATTATAAATTCTAATTGATCTATATCTATAATATATTTCTTAAGTTATCATATTTTATTAAAATTAAATGTTACGTTTTCAAAACTTAAAAAACTACTCTTTTCTGTTAAATCTAACAAAAATTTTAGA